CTACGGGCGGCCGGCGGGCGGCTGGTGGCTACGGGCGGCCGGCGGGGCTGGCGACGGGCATGGGGCTACGGGCGGCCGGCGGCGACACGCGGCTGGCGGCTATGGGCGGCCAGCAACCACAGGCGGCTGGCGGTTACAGGCGGCCGACGGCTACGGGTGGCCAGCGGCTACAGGCGACTGGCTATACGAGGCGACGGGCGGCCAACGGCGGTGAGCGATGAGCGGCTTGCAGAGGCGGCTAGTGACAGGCAGCTAGGAGTAGGCGGCTAGCGACGGGCGGCTAGCGACGGGCGGCTAGGGACGAGCGGCTAGGGCTAGGACTAGGACTAGAGCGGAAGCGAGGGTGGGCGGGGAGGACCTAACCTCGCTTAGATGGATTAAAGCCCCTCTTTGAGGAAAAAACCACCCTGTATCACTCATTCTAGTTCAACTCGTTACTCTGAGATGGTACCATCCAACCACAAAGTCCTTATAGTTTTAGTGAATGTACTTGTCAAACAGCACTGGCTCTGCACAATGATGGGAGAAGGAGGCAGATGAGAGGACTAATGGATGCACGGAGAAAGACGGAATGAGCAGGAGGATGGGGGGGTGGTTTGGACGAAGGGAAACAAAAAGGAGAGAGTGGGAGAAGAGGCGTTTTGCGATTCACACAGTGCATATGTGGGAGAGGCATGCGGTCAGAGTGTTGCAATGACAGCAAGCAGCATACGAAGGTGCTTTGCCAAAACGTTTGGAGCGTGAAAATACCTGAAAAGAGCGCAATGCGAGTACTAGGAAGGTGATTTGAGGGTGCGGTGGGCCTCCTAGTGCCCTGGCATACCTCCGATGACGCATCACCCCATCTCTTTGGAGTCAAAGCGCGTGATGAGAAAGTAGTAGGCTTCACCACAGCTGGGAATGTCAACTTGCAGCACGCGGTGGAAAGGGGGGTGAGCCAAGGGGGGACACAGGAAGTTCAGAATGTGTGTTTGGAGATTCTGTGTCAGCCTGGAGCAGAAACACATAAAATTAACCAACGACATGGGTCCAAGTCACAAAAGTTGGTTCATGTAATGATTGGCTGTAGGATGCAGCCAGTCATATTCTCGATGCGAGCTTGCATGCATCCTTGTTCTCCCAGCGTTTGAGTTACCATGCAACAGACAGGCAGACGCATGCATGCACACACGCATGCACGCACACACGCATGCACGGACAAATGGGCAGACAGGCTGGTAAAGGAGCTGGCTTTGTGAGATAGCTTTCCGGCTTGATATAGAAATTGGGTGGCATGGCAGCCCCGTCAAGACTGTCGAATTGCAGCTGAATGGTGGGCATCACAGGGAAAGGGTCCCGGGCAGTTCTATGTGGGGGAAGAAGGGATACAGGCTGGTACATGCACAAGAGCGAGAGGGGGAAAAGAGAAGTAAGGAAAATGAAAAAGATGGGCGAAGAAAGAGGGAGAAACATGTGAAAGGAGAGAGAGAGAGAGAGAGAGAGAGAGAGAGAGAGAGAGAGAGAGAGAGAGAGAGAGAGAGAGAGAGAGAGAGAGAGAGAGAGAGAGAGAGAGAGTGAGAGAGAGAGAGAGAGTGAGTGAGAGAGAGAGAGAGAGAGTGAGAGAGAGAGAGAGAGAGAGTGAGTGAGAGAGAGAGAGAGAGAGAGAGAGAGAGAGAGAGAGAGAGAGAGAGAGAGAGAGAGAGAGAGAGAGAGAGAGAGAGAGAGAGAGAGGCAAAGGCCAATAGCGCGGACGGGGAACTAGCGCGTGAGGCACGGGAGGCCGGTGCTAGAGCCACTAGATGCAAGGGAGGATGAGCTGGAAGGGGGGAGTGGCTCTGATTTTGTAGTCTCATCGGCTGAGGAAGGGGCGGACGAGTCCGCTGGGGAGACAGAGTCCAATCACATCTCAGAGGACGAGGCTTGTAACCCGAGACGCCAAGGCCGGCGACAAAGATGAAGAGGTCCCGAAATTATGCGAGCCTCCCACGCTAACACACCCCTGACAAATAGCCGCACGCCTGAAGACCTCGCCAATGACGAATAACTTTGGCGAAAAGTCACCGCGTGGGTGCTAGCACCACTCCGAGATTCCAGGCAACCCTACCTGATTCGTCACTGCCCCCAAAAATCGTGGACGCCTACGCGGAATGCCTCCTGATCCCACTGACACGAATTGTGCCACACCCAGAATGTGTGGGGGCCTGGCGACTCCTAACTTTTCTGCCACGACTGACCCTCCGCCCAACTCCCGCCATTGCAAAACGCAGGGACGCACTGTACCTGCCGTTCCAAGAGTTTCAGACCGGAAATTGGGGGCCACTTTACCAAGCAAGCATCGCCGAAATTCCAAACCGAACCGACATTCGACACATTTCGGACGAGGCGAGCCAACGCGCGCGTGCGGAAATTTTGGTTGGGAAAACCAAGCTACGCAAGGCAGTTGCAGCGTTACTCCCGTCGCCAACTATGCCTCCAACTCCCAAACCCTCGCGAACCTACGCGCGAAACACCTTGCTGCCGAACGGCCAATCCCGACCAGCCTATGGAGTTACCAGGGGTCAACCCTGGCCATTGACTGCGAGGACTTCCGACGTGTCCTCCCCAAATGCCCACACGGAGTCGGAACTGGGCCCTCAGGCACCTGCTTCGAACATCTGCGTGACCCGACCCTCGCAAATGGCCAAGTGCTACTGCTTCTCCTGCAAATCACAAATCAGACCCTCAGCAGCACTCTCCCTTCACCAGTGCGCCAAGTACTCCTCCCAGCCAAGCTCATCGCCCTAGCTAAGCCTGCACGAGGAGTCCAGCCCATCGCCATCGGTGAAGCATACCTGCCCATCGTCGCGGAGTGCGCCCTTCACCAGCTCGAGAGCGCCATCCGGTCCTACTTCATACCACACCAGTACAGCGTAGCAGTCCAGGCGGGCGCGGAGGGCATCATCCACGCCGTGCGAACACTACGGCAGGTATACCCATAATGCATGGCGCTGCAGCTCGACATTGAAAACGCTTTAAACAGCATTTTGCGCCGAGCCTTTATCCAAGCCCTACAGTGGAGCGGCGTCCAGGCGCTACTTCCCTTCGCACTCACCCTCGACGGCAAGCCCTCCCCCCAGCTCCTCGACGCGGCATTCGGAGACGCGGGGCTCACCAGCCAAGGGGACCCACTCGGACCCCTGCTATTTGCAACGGTCATCCAGCCGGTCCTAGCGCGAGTGGCAAACCAGAACCCGAGCGTCGCCATCCTTGCCTAGCTGCAGTCGTCGGCCCACCCCTGGCAGCAGCAGCGGCCCTCTCCTAGCTGCAAGACGGCCTGCACGAGTGTGGCCTCCGTTGCAACATGGGCAAATCGGCTGGATGGGCAGCCGACACCAATAGCCTCTTGCCACTCCCTGCCGCCATCACTAGGGCAAAGGGTGGCCTCTGTGTCTTGGGCAGCCCAATCGGCACCCCAGCATTCTGCCAAGACTTCCTCTGCACGGAGCTCACCCGAGCAGCGGCACCCCTACCTCAGCTCACCGACGTCCACTCCCAGCACGCCCTCCTCCTCTTATCCCGCTGCATCTCTCGCCGGGCGACCTTCCTCCTCCGATCTACACCGGCCGATGCACTGCCCCTGCACGATGTGAGGAAGTGGTCCGAGGACCTCCTCCGCACAGCACTCGCCGCGGCACGTATTCAAGCCCCCCGCAGCGAGCTAAACTGGAGCCTACTCTGGCGACAAGTGACCCTCCCTATCAGCCTAGGCAGGATCGGCATTGTTGACCCTGTCTCGGAGGTGGCAGCAATGTTCCTCGCCTCCACCATGGCCTCCTCCCATCTCCTCAGCTCCCTTCCCGCTCAGGGCACCCTGCTGCAAGAAGCCACAACACACCTGCTTGCTGATGGAACAGGACTGCTTCCCATCCAAACCCTCATCCATGACCTCCACGTCCGCCTCCCAGATGAGGCCAACGCCCCTGGATAGACGTCCGCACGACCGGTGATGCAGGAGGCCTCCAACACCGCCTCTCCCTCCATATCAACAGGCAACGAGCGGAAGAGCTATTCGCCGACACCCTGCTGGACCGACCCGGGCTGGATAGCGCCCACGGCACCCGCTTCACGAGCCTCCGAGGCACGGGAGCAGGAGGTGGGTTGCTGGCTCTCCCCACCCGCCAGGACCTGACCTTCTCCCCAAGACAATTCAGCACAGCCCTTGGATTCCGACTGGGAATGCTGCTGCCAGTCCCAGGAGGTTGCTCCTACCACGGCGAGGACATCCTCGACCCTAGCCTGCCAAACCACCTATAACGATGCAGCCTTGGGGTCGGTCGTGAAAGGCCTCCATAACGCCCTGGTATTCTCAGCCCTCCGCATGGCCCGTGAGGCGAAGTTCGTCACGTACCACGACACGACCCAGTTCTCGTCCCCAACAAACCGCAAGCGGGCCGACCTGGCCATACGGGATCTGGAGAGCGGTGCCACGTGGATCACTGACGTCACAGTCACGGATCCAGTCCTACAGATGTGGGACAATGACGCCAGCAGCAGCCCGGGATGGGCGGCGCTAGAAGCCGCTCAGGCGAAGGAATGCCTCTACACTCCCCGCCCTGCATATGTGGGATTCTTAAGACTGGCGGTGGAGACTTACGAGGCGCTGGCACCATCTACAGCTGCATTCCTACAGCTCCTAGCGGAACACTCAGCCTCCACCATTTCCGCTCCAACGCCCTCACCACCCATGCCAAGAGGCTCTACTCTCACTTTCGCCAGCGATGGTCCATCCTGTTGCAGCACCTACAAGCGTCCATCACTCGGGCCGTAGAGGCCGTACATGCCGGCTTCCCCTAGCCCCTAGAAGACCCTTGGGCACCTAGCTTTAGTGACTTGTTCCAGACCTTGGACGTGGGGGAGGCATAGGGCCCTGACAGGTTCAGCCGTTTTTCAACCAGTGTTGGTCTGAGGTCGGTGGTTCTCAGTAGGCTTTACTTTCCTGCATGATTGCCGTGAAAATACTCTGTACCCAGGATTCATCAAATGCGACCGACCGCTTGAGAGAGAGAGAGAGAGAGAGAGAGAGAGAGAGAGAGAGAGAGAGAGAGAGAGAGAGAGAGAGAGAGAGAGAGAGAGAGAGAGAGATAGAGAGAGAGAGAGAGAGAGAGAGAGAGAGAGAGAGAGAGAGAAAGAGAGAGAGAGAGAGAGAGAGAGGGAAGAAGCAGGCAGACGCTCCAGAGTCGAGCAAGAAACAGAGCAAGCAGTAGCGTCTGCCGTAGCGGCGACTGGCGGAGGGGCTAGCGTAGAGCCTAAGCTACAGTATACCAGGCAGGAGGTCCTACGCCTGACACGCCTGACACATCGGAGGCACACCTAAACTAGACAACACAGGGTAATAAGATCCAATCACACTAGAGTCATCGGCATACATGACATACATAGCAGTCCTAATCTGATCCATGTCAGGCTCAAAGACGGGCACACGACGGCGGGCCAGGGCGTACTAGTCAGAAGGGTCCGAGGTGGGACCAAAGCGTAGACGGTAGAGGTCGTCGAGGCAGCGGTAGTAGCGGGCGGCGGTATAACCTGGACGATCGCAGACGGTGCCGCGGCGAGGGCCGTTCTGTAGCTGGTATTGGCAGGTGGTTACACTGGAGCCGCCACCCGACACTGAGCTGTGTGGGACACCACCCCGACCACCACCACCAGCGCCACCACGCCACCATGGTGGTGGGGGTCCCCACGGCGGCTGCTGCTGCGACTACTGGTACTGAGGTTGCTGCTTCTGCTCCTGCTGCTCCGGGGCACCAGCCCCGGTCCCCTCGTCTGCACCACCGTCCCCGCCCCCACCTCCACCACCCCCACTACCCCCACCACCCTTCCCTCCGCCACACCCCCCCTTGGGGCGGCCGCTACCCTGGCGCTACTACGCTGAGGCCACGACGGCGGTCTCAGTAGCAGGGGCTGTCTCAGCAACAGCGGCAGAAACGTTAGAGTAAGTGCACTGGGAGGGAGCACAACCCTGGAAGATAGGGACCGGCGAAGTACCGCTAGACTGAGCGTTAGTGCGCTGGCGGGTCTCTATCGCGGACAGGGCAGTTACAAAGGCGGGGAGGGTGAGGTCACCTGGGTGCTGACTAAGGAAGTGGTCGCGTGCAGTAGCTAGGCGGTCAGGCAGGCGCGTGGCAATGAGGTAAAGGGTAGCGCAGAGCGGTTTCGGGAAGGCAGTGAGCTGTGCCTTAGTGCTAGCGGCACGGTAGCTAGTCTCCAGTGCGCGGAGGTGCGTGGCAAGGTCAGCGACAGTGGGGAAGGACGCAAGGTCAGGGAACAGCATGGGGAGGATCAGGCGGCATGCAGAGGCTGAGGCGGGGGTGGAATAACGCGCGATGACAACATCCAAGTAGTCCTTGGCGTTTGCTACAGCGGTAAAGCGGGGACGCTTGGACAGGGGGGAGGCGTGGCTAATGGCAAGCTGGGCAACAGCGTCGCGCGAGTCCCAGACAGCACTGGCAAGCTTGGCAGTGACAATAGCCTGACGCGCAGGAGACGTATGGTGGAGAGCGATGGAGACTGCCGGAGGGAGCGCCGGCTCAGAGGGGAGCCAAGGCCGGCAGGTGGGGGCGGCAGAGCGGCTTGGCGGCGCAGCGACACGGCGTCACGGCAGCACTGCGGCACGGCTGCCCGGCCGCGAGGTGGCTCGGCGGCACGACGGCTGGCGGTCACGGGGCTGGAGAGCGAGAGGCTGGCGAAGGCGAGGCCAGCGGGTGCGGAGCTGGCAATCGCGGGGCCAGCAAGCGCGGTGCTGGCAAGCGCAAAGCTAGCGAGCGAGGGACAGCAAGCGCGGGGCCAGCGGGCGCAGGGCCAGCGAGCGCAGGGCCAGCGAGCGAGGGGCTGGTGAACGCGGAGCTGGCGACGGGAGGGCCGACGAGCGACGGGCCAGCAGGCATGGGGCTGGCGCGCGCGAGGCCAGCGAGCTACAGGCCAGCGAGCGACGGGGCTGGCGAGCGCGGGGCCGGCGAGCGCAGGGCCAACGAGCGACGGGCCAGCAGGCTCGGGGCTGGCGAGCGCGGGGCCAGCGAGCGACGGGGCTGGCAGGCGCGGGGCTGGCGAGCGCGGGGCCAGCGAGCGACGGGGCTGGCAGGCGCGGGGCTTGCAAGCGCGGGGCCAGCGAGCGATGGGGCTGGCAGGCGCGGGGCTGGCGAGCGCGGGGCCAGCGAGCGATGGGGCCGGCAGGCCCGGGGCTGGCAAGCGCGGGGCCAGCGGGCGGCAGGGCTGGCAGACGTGGGGCTGGCGAGCGCGGGGCCAGCGAGCGACGGGGCTGGCGACGGGCGACTGGCGCGCACGGGCAGCCAGCAGCTACAGGCGGCTGGTGGCTAGCGGCCAACGGCGATGAGCGGCGCGCGGCTAGCAGAGGCGGCTAGCAACGGGCGGCTAGCGACTAGCGGTTAGGAACGGGCGGCTAGAAACGGGCGGCTAGGACTAGGACTAGGGTGGAAGCGCGGGTGGGCGGGGAGGACCTAACCTAGTGCGTGATACCATCTCAGAGTAATGAATTAAGTATGACTAGGGGATAGAAGGGAATATAACCTAAGGTGTTGTATTCTCTATGAGCATGCACCTATCTAGCCTATAACATATACAATTATATGTTGACAAGGGCAACTCAGGGTTGTTCCTCTTCAGAACGTACACAGCAGGATGACAAGGAGAACATAGCCAACAAATAAGGGTGTCCAGCATCTCCAAGTCTCCAACCTCTAGCACCTTAGCATCTTGGACTCTTGTACCCAGTAGAGGACGAGGCCAATCACCTCTCCACTATTTGCCGGTACCGTATTCCCCCAGATATACGCCCCTAGGTGCTTATAGGGATTTTAGTCAAAATGTTGGGGGTGCATTTATTTGGATTATTTGATACGGCACGGTGCGTTAAAAACGTTCTGAAGGAAAATTTTGAAATGAACATAAAGATGTAGCTAGAACAATTTGCAATCGAATGGAATGCTCCCAAACGTGAACAACCAGAGCAGTCCCGCCAAAATCGCTTCCTAGACGATTGGCGCGCCAGCCAAGCAGCACGTTCGCTGCAGTTTGCCAGCGCGCAGGCTAGCGGGTGCGAACCTGGCCATCCGTACTCTCGCCTAACACGGCAGCAGAGCTTTGCTGACCACACCTTCGATGAGTCGGAAGGTCAGGGGTCGATCTTGTGTGATGAAGTGATTCGTCATGTAAACATGACGCGAAATGTACAGTCAGCATAGTCAGTGCGAGATTCCCACAGGGGTGATAAGGGGGGTGCGTATAGGGATTAGAATCTGGAAACTGGGGGGGTGCGTATCGTTGGCACATCCGATATGGCTCCCCTCCAGATATACGCACCATGGTGCGTTTTAGCTGGCGGTGCGTGTATCCGGGGGAATACGGTATTTGCTGTGTAGTGCTCTTCTTCGGCTACTCTTAATGTCATCCTACGGTAGTCTAGTGGGGCACTTCTTTATACATCATAATCTGTCCGCAGGAGGTTCCTTGCAGAGTCAGTATCACAACAGGGAGTTCCCACAAGACAGTTCCCACACAAACTCCACTGACTTGACACTATACAAGACTCTGTGCTTTGGTTTGGAGAACTGTAAGACTGAAAGGTGGCATGTCGCGGGAATTATAGGAGGGAGAGAGCAAGCAGGGCAGTGGATGTGGTTGTGATGACTGCTCGCACTGCTGCTGCCGCCAGGGAACGGGAGGCGAGGGCCGCTTTGGAAACGGGGGAGGGAGGTGGAGGGGGGGAGGGCGGGGGGATTTGGGGTGTAGCTCCACCTGTTGGAATGAGGGGGGAAGAGAGGAGAGGAGAGGCGAGGGGAGGAGAAAGAGAGAAGAGAGACCGAGATAATGGGCGAGAAAAGAGTGAGTGGTGGAGCAACCAGGAGCATTGGTGGTAAGGAAGGAGAATGAGTGTCAAGGAGCAAGGATGGCAATGGAAGGGGGATGGAAGCATCCATTGGTGCATAGGACATTGCTACTGTACACATGAATGCAGCAGTTGGTGCCTCTGTGTAGGGTGTTGGACTTTTATCATGCTATTGCGCGGAAAGAGAAGGTGGTGCCAGGCATCGACGGCACAATAGAGAGTTCACCCGAAGACTGCCTGGGTGTTAGGGACAGACAGAGCCGAGCACCAGCTTACATTGAGGTGCATCAATCCACCCTGCAGTGGCGTTGGTGTAGTCGAAGAAGAGATACTTGTTGAACAGACCCGGCTCTGCCCATTCGCACATGCACAAGTCGTGAGGGCGGGGGGATAAGGGAGGAGAAAATTGCAGAAGAGCATGATAACGGCGGGGCATGATAGGGATGGTAAGATGAGCCCACGACGGGAACAGGACGGTGAACAGGCACGTGGAAACAGGGGTAGGGAAGGGGGAGAAAAGCGACAGGAAGGGGAACAGGTACACGAGGGGGGGGCGAATGCCAAGTGCCCCTACCTCCAATGTAATTGGCATAAAAACTGTCAGGAGGAAGTGATGTGGCCAGGACACAGTATCTGGAAGGTGAAACCTGAGGAGGGGGGGGGGGGGGGGGGGGGGGGGGGGTACGTGGGAATGGGAGAGCAATAGCCGTGAGCGAGGCTTGACCAGATGGGCAAGCGGTAAAGGGAGATGGCCAACTTGTCCCAGGTGGCACTGGGTGACTGGGCACGTGGAGGCTCCTCGGTTGACGGCTAAGATGACACGGGCCTGGCAGTGAGCAGAGGAGGCTGGGAAGGGAAGATACAGGGGCCAGGTGGAAGAGGAAAAGCGTGTTCCCAGCAAGAGGAAATCAGTACCTGGGCGGCGTACTCGTTCTTTAAAGCTCTCTAATGGCACGTGCGGCGTGGACGAGTACCTTGACGAGGTACTCGGACGGCTTGAGGTAGAAGTGGGAGGCGGGGCTTGTGCCGTTGGAACTTCTTCCGTAGAAAGCAATGTCGACAGTGGGGAAGACGGTGAAGGGGTCGCCGGAGTTTTTCTTGTTCCTGCAAGGAGGGTATTGTTAGGAGTGCAAGGGGGGTGGGGGGGGGGGGGGGGGGGGAGGAAAGGAGGTGGGAGAAGAGACCCAAGGGAGGGTCAGGCAGAGTCAGAGGGACTAGAATTGGAGGGACTACTTTGCGGGCAAGGAAGGAGTTCTGATAAGAGGGAGAGAGAGGGATAGCGAGAGAGAGATTTGATGCAAGCATGCGTGATGTGTGAGGCATGTGGACCGAGCAGGCACTCCAAACCCAGAGAGCATTGCCGCACTTTGAATGGGAGCACGGTACTTGGGGGAGAGGGGGAGTAAGAGAAAGTAAAGCTGAGCGACTCACTGGAAGCAGGGAAGGCGATAAACCTCCTTGGTAGTTGTGTTGAAGATAAACGTTTGCCCTGTCATCTCTTGGAGCTACACACATGTACAGGCACACACATAGCAGGGCACAAGCATAGCAGGGCACACGCATAGCAGGGCACACGCATAGCAGGCCATACGCATTGCAGGCCACATGCATATCATGCCACACGAAATATCAGGCCACATGCATATCAGGCCACATGCATATCAGGCCACATGCATAGCAGGGCACAAGCATCATAGGACACGTGAGGGACAGGGGGCATAACGATCAAGCCACAAGATCAACCTGAGAGAAGAGAGCATGTCAGCATGGGGTTGCACCCGGTTTCCATTCCATTGGCTTGCGGTAACTACTGGCTTGCTCGAGCAAAGGTTGAGGTGAACGTACAGTGGTGACGCACACCAGTATTTGAGAACTCTCACAAGCTGAGCTGAGGAAAGAACGTACATTGGAGATGAAGGAGATGAGCAGGGAGGCGCGCAGCATGTGCACGAAGGACTCGGGCATGAAGAGGAAGCCCGGAGGCCCGGGAGCGTCCTCGGGCAGGAAGGCCGTGCCCTTGGGCAGCGATGATGGGTCGTCCGTGATGTTCATTGCACGCGTTGTGGTGGTGAGCGTGATGTGGCTATAGCGCATGCCTGATGAGTAGAACCTGGGAGGGATGCGGGGTGTGTTGCATGAGGTAATGAGATTGTGGATAGGCGGGTGGGTGGGTGGGTGGATGGGTGGATGGGTGGATGGGTGGATGGGTGGATGGGTGGACGGGTGGATGGGTGGGTGGGTGGATGGGTGGATGGGTGGGTGGGTGGATGGGTGGATGGATGGGTGGATGGGTGGATGGGTGGGTGGGTGGGTGGATGGGTGGGTGGGTGGGTGGATGGGTGCATGGATGGATGGATGCATGAATGGATGGATGGTGTAATTGGTTGGTTCAATCCCTTGCTGTCATCACCGCCATCACCAACAGCAGCAGGAGGCGGGAAATGAGGAAACGAGCGTGGGAGGAGTTGGGAGAGGTAGGCGACACAGCTGGTGGAGGGGGTAGGTAGCCCATCTTTCGACTGCTGGCTGGCAGAGACGACTTGGCAGAGACGACTTGGCGAGACGACTTGAAGGGGAGACGACTTGACAGAGGCGACTTAAGAGTGGGAGAGTGGCGAGAGAGTGGTTCCTGGGGGATCATTACAATCTTGAGTACTGGGCGCCGGCAGGGAGGCCGACAGCGCCGATGGTGAGGTGGCTGCTGCCCTCCTGGAGAGGCCTCTTCTCGTCCCACGCTGGCTTGTTCGTGGGGGTGGGCTGGTCCAAACACACGGCGAAGGAGCGGGTGCCTGTGGTGAGTTGCTCTAGGAAGGGGCTTCTGTACCCTAGCCCTAGCACGCCTCCTGCCGTCCACGAGCCGTCCAGCCACCCCTGCATCCCCCAGTAGCCTTGCTGGTTGAGGCCACAGCTGCGAGGGGGATTGGGGGCCGGCAGAGAGGAGAGTGAGGGGCAGCATGAGGCACGGTGGGTTAGGGAGGAAGAGACAAGTCAGGGAGAAACTAGGAGAGGAGAGATACATGATGGAGAAGCACGTGGGATTCTCACCCAAAAGTGATGGATCGGTTGACCTCGGTGCCGTCAGGTGCAGTGAGGTAGACCGTGTCCTCGATGACATGGCCCACAGACCCTATGTACTCCCCCGCGTCAGCGTCCGCTTCATAGTAGTCAAAGTACCCCTCAAACGACGTGTAAACGCAGAGAGCGTCGTCCCCTGGCAGCAGGCCCGTGGTGTTGAGGTAGTTGGGCGTGCCGTCCGCGTTACACCCATAGTAGCCCAGCTTGGAGCCCTCGAGGCAGCGGTTGTCGGCGCAGGAGATGAAGCTGAGGGACGAGGAGGAGAGCGTGCTGAAGGGCTTGCTGGAGGCTGTCTGGCGGGCGGAGGGAGAGGGGAATGGGGGAGTGGGGGTGGGATAGGGGTGGGGTGATGGGTGGGGAGGAAATGGGGGAAAGGGGGGAGGGGAGGGGGAGGGGATGGAGGAGTGAGGACTGAGACAGGGTTGGGATGTTGATGTGCAGGATACCCTGAGACAGGGGTTCAGATGTGTGCGATGGAGTTTTCCACCCACGTGCATCGTTGGCCCCAGGGGTATGGACAGAGCAGCGTGGTTAAGTTGGATGTTGATGCGTGTTGCCACAAACGATGAAAGTGTGGGGGGGAGGGGAGGGGAGGGGAGGGGAGGGGGGGGAAAGGGGGGAGGGAAGAATGAAGGGCGGGGACGAGTGGTGTCTGCAGGTGAAATGGACTCCGACGTAAAACAAGTTGCAAGGGCAGGCGCCTAGAAGCTTTGCTAGCACTCAATGTCGCTCCATTCTGAGCTTTCGCACAGCCACCCGCACTTCCCTCCCTGCACGCGCCCAGTACTCTCACTCCACTCCCACTCCCACTCTCACTCCCACTCCCACTCCCACTCCCACTCCCACTCCCACTTCCACTCCCACTCCCACTCCCACTCTCACTCCCACTCCCACTCCCACTCCCACTCTCACTCCCACTCCCACTCCCACTCCCACTCCCACTCCCACTCCCACTCCCACTCCCACTCTCACTCCCACTCCCACTCTCACTCCCACTCCCACTCCCACTCCCACTCCCACTCCCGCTTCCGCTCCCACTCCCACTCCCACTCCCATTCCGCCCCTTGTGCGCCAGAGCAAACCACTCACCCCCCGGCGTGCGGTGCCGCAGTGGAGGCAGTCGCAGGGCACCCAGGTGAAGGGCAGGAATATGTTGAGCGCCATCTTGAACTGCTGCCGCATGGACCCCAGCTTCAGGTCCACGTAGTAGGGGAACACGCTGGGGGGCGGAGAGCGAGAGAGGTGACAGAAGGTGCGGGAGGGGAGGGAGATCAGAGGTGAGGGAGGTCAGAGGGGAGGGAGGTCAGAGGGGAGGGACGTCAGAAGGGAGGGAGGTCAGAGGTGAGGGAGGTCAGAGGGGAGGGAGGTCAGAGGGGAGGGACGTCAGAAGGGAGGGAGGTCAGAGGGGAGGGAGGTCAGAGGGGAGGGAGGTCAGAGGGGAGGGAGGTCAGAGGGGAGTGAAGAAACGTGGGGAGGTACGGCAAGTGTGAAGGGGGAAGTTCATGTGAGTGGGAGTGGGATGCTGTTGACAGTCACACATGAAGTGCGAGAGAGTGAGAGAGGAGTCTGGGCTCAAAACTGCCAAGGCATGTGGCACGACATCCGCCTGGATCAGGCAGCATGTGGACAGCACGAACGGGAATGAGACCGCACAGCAAGCTTGTGCCCGGCGAGTGGGAGGTCGGGCAGCGAGTGAGAGGTGCGAAGCAAGTGGGAGGCAGGCACGGCACGTACGGGAGGCGTATCTTGTTGTCGTCTGCGAAGGTGCTGTAGTTGACGAATGTGTTGCCCAGGCTGCCGTTGGCCATCGACACTAGCGTGCTGCCGTACTCCAGCGTTGGCAGGAACCCCGTCTCCTGCACCCGCTCAGAACGATCATCTTAGAGTCGGGCTAGAAAACCAGGACAGATGTCAAGAGGTAGCGGCAGGTGGGGCATGGCATGGCATTGCATTGCATGGCATGGCATGGCATGGCATGGCATGGCATGTTATCCCATGCTGAGGGCGACTGCCCTTGCGACCACCATCCCGTGATACTACGCTAGTCGTGGCCGTCTTGAGCGTGCTCACTCACGTTAGATGCCTTGCGTGACCCGCCTTTGCCCTTCAAGCCGCCTCCTATCATACCCTGCACGGATCACGCATTGTTGGGGGGGAGCACCAGGAGGGCATGCGGAGGCAGGCAGGCAGGCAGGCAGGCAGGCAGGCAGGCAGGCAGGCAGGCAGGCAGGCAGGCAGGCAGGAGGACACGTCTGTCACTGAGAAATTTCGTACCTATCGAGACATTAGTATCGAGACAGACGCGTATACTTGGAACAGCAACTTCAAGTGACAGCTGGATACTTGTTATGCATTCATATGCAGCCTTGTGTATCGCCATTCACCAGGCATTTCATATGTAGGGACAGTCGAATTTGAACTCGTCATTTCAAGCAGCAAACCCCCGCTCCGCGCTCCGCCCTCTCACCGATCCTTGGAGGATCCGCCGGTGCAGCTCCTCCCTGCTGGGGGCGTCTTCCGCGCGCTGCAGGGGGAAGAACTGCGCGCCTGCGTCCGCTGATCGGCGCAGCCACTCCCCAATCGCCGCCCCCGCCGCGCCATCACTCCTCGCGCCTGTCGCGCCAACCGCCGCCTCCCCTCCGATGCTGGCGGGCGGGCCGTGCTGGCGGAATCGGGATGCGCCGACCTGCGACGAAACGGCGAGAACGAGGAATAGACGCGATAGGTAAAGCAGGAGACTCGACGGAGAGATACCGATGCGGAATTTGAAAGACGATGGGCAGGCGGAAACGTGGTAGAGCCCTAAAATACGGAATTGCGTTCGAAGCTGTCAATAAATTTTACTGAAAGCGGTGAACAAGAAAGTTGTTTTGTAGTAAGAGGCTGTTCAGTGAACACCCCGTCCCAGAGTTGTCGTCAAATCAAGGCGAAACATGGAGCGATGCCGCGAACGGCGGGAAACGAAAATTGGTGGTTTTGGTAACCCCTGTGGTTCGGTCAGAACCCCGGTCCTGTGGAAGCCATGGTGGATTCATTTGCAAACCCTTGATCTCTGTACGCATTGCAAGGCAAGGAGTGCACTTTGACTTGAAGCATCGCTACGGCCGACTCGCGTGGCGTACCCCGGATGACTGCGACTCGGACTGCAAATCAGCCACTCCCGCGACTTGGGAATGATGTCGGACGTCCGCCGCCGGAGCGCGTCCGTGGATCCGCGAGACGGCGAGGGAGAGCAGCAGGAGCAGCGCGAGCAGACGCGGAGAGGCGGCGGCGCGGCACGAGAAAGCGGCGGCGGCTTCGGCGGAGCCCGGCGACGGTGATCGGCGCGGCGAGAGAGACGGCGAGCGCGGCCTCGAACAGCCCTCGCGGCCTCGGGCGCAGGACGGGGACGCAGCCGCCATGGTAGTTCTAGTCGAACTACTGCCAGTGCTAATAGCAGTCACTGGTACCGTAGTGACTGCGGTAGACGCCGCGCGTGGTGGGGACCTTCTGAGAGTCTCGCGTGCTCTGCGCGATCGTCGCCGTGGCGGGCGCCCCCAACCAGACCCTCCGCTTCACCTCACCGACCCAGCCCGGGGGCGCAGCGGTGGGTGATTTCCACCGCGGCGGGCTGCCAGTCTGTGCTGCTACAGAATGCGACGTCGTCGTTATGCGGTGCTGAAAGCCTTTCACCTGAGGTCTACAGCGGATTCTCGGGTTTCTGTGCGTTTCTACAAGCCGCTATGCGGTGAAACGATGTCGGCGACGCCGTGAAAACTCGACGTCGGCGTTCTTTGAGCCCGCCCTAAGGGAAAGAGTGGTGCAGAAAGGCAGCAACAGCAGAAGAAGAACTAAGTCCTGCTCGAGGAATAGGAATGCTTTCGACATGCAGCTTCGATGTTGCTCTATGCGGCAGATGCTACTGTCAGGTACTACAGCACCGTTGCTCCCCAAAACGATGGCGGGTGGTTGTGGTAGACGCTCCCGCGCATCCCAGTCTCGCGCAACCCCTCTCCCCCTGTCCCGACTCCCAAGTCCAGCTCCATCTGCTGGGCTGAACGGGCAATGCGATCGGCGAGATGGCTGGCGAGAGACGACCAAGCAATGGCGGGAAGCACGGTGATGGCTGCACTGGCCGGTATGCTCGAACACTCTGCCACTCGCCGGCTTCGTGTCAGCAATTGTTGAGGGCTTATGCGGGGGATCTCTGTCCCCAGTTCGTTGTATTCTTTCTCGAGTGAAGATGTTGAAACCGTCTGGGAACAAGCCCTCGGACCGGTAGATCACCACTGGAGCACACGACTCCAGCCATCAAGAATTTCACGAGGCGCAGTGTCTGCGGCACCACGTGGTGATCCGAACCACCGATTCTTACAGTAGCGTCGACGGTAATGTATCCAAGCTCGAACTGTACCAGCAATATGCATGCACAGATCGAACTGACAGCGAAGCGAAATGTGTCCGTCTGCTGGGAACAACGTCTATCCAATCAGATTGTGCGGTTTAGAACGGTGTGATGTGTTAGAAGACGCTTTACTTGCAACAGCGCTTTGGACCTTGACGAACCGAATCCTACCGTAGAAAGCGTACAGTAGACCTCCCTTCGAGAAGTTCAGGCGTACGGTTCTGACAACGATGGGGCACAACAGTACAGTAAAGAAGCGCAAAAAGCGTGTGTAGAATAATTTAGCGAGGAAACGAGTACAATGATGCAACATCAAAACAGCACGGAGCATGGATATAGCTAGCCTAGGGCAAACGGTCGTGGCTCAGCAGAGCTGCAACGTGTGGTTCGTAAATTGTCGCAAAGTGTCCAGATCTAGGCATGAAACTGTTAGAATAGCAGAATGGCTAGAAATGACGGATGTAGAGGAACATATGGTTGGGTGTGTCAAACATTAGTATATCTATGTCAAACATCTGTATTTGTTATGTTTGTATAGACTGTATAGGGTTACCGCTTAGAGGGTACAACACTTAGGTATATTTGTGTGTACTCTCATCTTTACCATCATTCAATTATTTTGCCATGGTATCACGCATAGATAGGATCCCCCCCCCCCCCCCACCTACCGCTTCCGCTCATGCCCCCTAGCGCCTCTCCCAGGCCCCGTCGCGCTCCTCCCAGGCCCCCTAGCGCCCCTCCTGGGCCCCGTCGCGCTCCTCCCAGGCCCCGTAGCGCCCCTCCTGGGCCTCGTCGCGCCCCTCCTGGGCTTCGTAGCGCCCCTCCCAGGCCCCGTCGCGCCCCTCCCAGGCCCCGTCGCGCTCCTCCCAGGCCCACTAGCGCCCCTCCTGGGCCCCGTCGCGCTCCTCCCAGGTCCCGTAGCGCCCCGTCGCGCCCCTCCTGGGCCCCGTAGCGCCCCTCCTGGGCCTCGTCGCGCCCCTCCTGGGCTTCGTAGCGCCCCTCCAGGGCCCTGTAACGCCCCTCCCAGGCCCCGTCGCGCCCCTCCCAGGCCCCGTCGCGATCCTCCCAGGCCCCCTAGCGCCCCTCTTGGGCCCCGTCGCGCTCCTCCCAGGCCCCGTAGCGCCCCGTCGCGCCCCTCCTGGGCCCCGTAGCACCCCTCCTGGGCCTCGTCGCGCCCCTCCTGGGCTTCGTAGCGCCCCTCCTGGGCCCTGTAACGCCCCTCCCAGGCCCCGTCGCGCCCCTCCCAGGCCCCGTCGCGCTCCTCCCAGGCCCCCTAGCGCCCCTCCTGGGCCCCGTCGCGCTCCTCCCAGGCCCCGTAGCGCCCCTCCTGGGCTCTGTCGCGCCCCTACTGGGCCCCGTCCCGCCCCTCCCAGGCCCCGTCGCGCCCCTCCGTGGCTCCGTAGCGCCCCTACTGGGCCCCGTCGCGCCCTCCCTGGGCCCTGTAGCGCCCCTCCTGGGCCCCGTCGCACCCTGCCCGACCCCGTCGCGCCCGCCCGGCGCCGTCGCAGCCGCCCGGCCCCGTCGCGCCCGCCCGGCCCCGTCGCAGCCGCCTGGCCACGTCGCGCCCGCCCGGCCCCGTCGCAGCCGCCTGGCCCCGTCGCCCTTGCCTGGCCCCGTCGCAGCCGTCCGGCCCCGTCGCACCTGCCCGGCCCCGTCGCACCCTGCCCGGCCCCGTCGCAGCCGCCCGGCCCCGTCGCACCCGCCCGGCCGCCGTCCCGCTCGCCCGGCCCCGTCGCACCGGCCCGGCCCTGCCGCACTCGCCCGGCCCCGTCGCCCCAGCCCGGCCCCGTCGCGCCCGCTCGGCCCCGTCGCCCCGTCCCGGCCCTGTCGCACCAGCCCGGTCCCGTCGCGCCCGCCCGGCCCCGTCGGGCCAGCCCCGGCCCCGTCCTCCGCACTGGTACGGTTCCCCCCCCCCCCCACCCCGCACTGCTCCGTGCCGCCCCGCACCACACTGTACTGCCTGGCACCGCACTACACCGCACTACACCGCACTGCACCGCACTGTACCGCACTGCACCGCATGGCACCGCACTACACCGCACTGCACCGCACTGCACCGCACTGTACCGCACACCACACCCACTGAGCGTGAGTCTAGTGCTGCCACTGCCCGTGCGCGCTCTGTCTGGCTTTCTCGCAATGCTGTTGCCCAGCTTGCCATTAGCAACGCCCTTCCCCCATCCGAGCGTCCTCGCTTTAGGTCTCTCACTACTGCTCAGGCATACTTAGATGCTGTGATCAAGCGCTATTCCACCCCTCCGGCTGCCTCGGTGGGTCGCCTGATCCTTCCGATGCTCTTTCCTGACCTTGCATCTTTCCCCACTGTCTCTGACCTCGCTGCCCACCTGCGCTCGATAGATGAGACCTGGCGCGCTGCCTGCACTGACGCCAAGCTTAGAGCCCACCAGCCGCCCATTACCTCTACCCTCTATCTGATTGCCACCCACCTCCCTGACCGCCTTGCTGTCGCCCGCGACCGCTTTCTTAGCGTTCACCCCGCAGACCTCACCCTCACTGACTTTGTGGACACCCTGACTGTGATAGAGACCCGTCACCGCTCCATCGCCCAGGCGAGCGGTGTCGTGCCAGTCCTTATCTTTCAGGGTTGTGCCCCCGCTCAGTGCACCTTCTCCGACGGCTCTGCCGCAGTGGCTGAGACTGCTGCTGCAGCGCAGGTCCGTTCGGGGAAGGGCCGCCGCCCCAAGGCTAGGCGCGGCGGAGGAGGCGGCGGGGGTGCGGGCGGGGGTAGTGGTGGGGTCATGTCGCCTGGTGCTGGAGTGGACGAGGGGACCCTGCCCAGTTCAGCTGAGTTGCCGCCCCTGCAGGTGCAGCAGCCGCCGCAGTCGCAGCCTTCGCAGCAGCCGCAGCAGCCGCCGCAGACGCGGCAGCCGAGTGTCTTTCCGCCAGGGTGGCCCGGCGCTGGCGGTGGCCGGGCGCGTGGTGGTGTGCCGCGTGGTGGCTCTGGCGGCGGGCGTTGTCAGTACCAGATCCAGACCGGTCCTCGCCGCGGCTTCGTTTGCGGTAAGATCGGTCACTCCACTCCCCGCTGTTTTCGTCGCCTGGACGACCTCTTTCGTCAGCGCTTCGGCCCGTCGCCAGACCTCCCGGACTGGCACAGTTTGCTTAGTCGTCAGATTTAGATTTTTGATATGGACATGGATGCCATTGTTTCCGCTCTGCATGTGATGTATGCTGATGACTCTAGTGTGCTTCCCGCTTATTACTCACTGTTGCCTAGTGTAGGTGTGCCTAGCTTCGCCTCCCCTGCTGCGTCAGGCGTAGGATCCCCTGCTTTGTGTAGTCTTGGTGCTTCCGCCGTCGTTCCGTCGCCAGACCCCTCGGCTTCGCTGTCCTTCACCCTGGACTCTGGCGCCTCTCGGTGTTTCTTCCGCGACTCCACCACCCTGACGCCGCTTCCTGTTCCTGCTGCCGTTTCTCTTGCTGACCCCTCCGGCGGTCCGGTAGTCGCCCGCAGTTCCACTACCCTTCCCTGTCCGGCGGTTCCTTCGGGTTCTCTTACAGGTCTGCATATCCCCTCGTTCTCCAGGAACCTAGTTGGTGTCGGCTGCCTCCAGGACCTTGGCGTCACCACTACGTTCCCTGGCCACGAGCGGTATGCTGTCTGTACCAAGGCCGCCAATGGTGCCCCCCTGTCCACGTTCCCCCGGGACCCGGTGTCCGGCCTGTTCACTCTGGACACCGCGACCCCCCCGGCTGGAGCGCCCCCTCAGGTGGCTGCGTCTACCCAGGTTGCTGCTGCCTGCTCCTGTCGCTCCCTCACTCACCCGACCCTCCTGTGGCACCACCGCCTAGGTCACCCTGCGCTCCCGCGTCTGCGTCACATGTCCCAGCACGGTCTCGTCCTTGGTCTCCCAGGTTCGCTCCCCGCGTTTCCCTCCTCTCCAGCCCCACCTTGCACGCCTTGTGTCGAGGGTCGGCTTCGCCATGCCCCTCACTCCTCCTCGTTTCCCCCTACCGCCGCGCCGATGCAGACCCTGCACCTGGACGTCTGGGGCCCCGCCCCCGTCCCTGGGCCGCGTCGAGAGCGCTACTTCCTTGTGCTTGTCGACGACTTCACTCGTTACACCACAGTCTTTCCACTGGAGCGCAAGGCCGACGTGCCTGGCGCCCTCATCCCCTGGCTTGTCTCTGCGCGTGTCCACCGCGGTCTCCCTGTCTTGCGTCTTCACTCAAACCGTGGTGGCGAGTTTGCCTCCGGTGTCCTTGGTCGTTTTTGTCGTGCGGAGGGCATCACCCAGACGTTCACCCTACCGGACTCCCCACAGCAGAATGGGGTCGCTGAGCGACGCATCGGTTTGGTCATGGAGGTCGCTCGCACCTCCATGATCCATGCCGGTGCACCCCATTTTCTGTGGCCGTTCGCTGTGCGCTACGCTTCTCACCAGCTTAACCTGTGGCCGCACCCTCAGCAGCCGCAGGTTTCACCGACCCGTCTTTGGACTGGGTCTCCTGGTGACGCGTCTGTGTTCCACGTCTGGGGCTGCCTTGCTCACGTCCGTGCCTCCGGCACGGACAAGCTCGCTGCCCGCACCTTTCCCTGCGTCTTTCTCGGTTTTCCCCTTGACGCGTCCGACTGGCACTTTTACCACCCGCCGTCTCA